GCTCAGCTTCCTACCGGCCTGGGTGAATGGCAGGAGGCTGAGCGGAGCTGGCTGGGACCCCAGCAGGCTGAGTGGGGCTGGAGGCTGGGACCCCGGCTGGCAGGAGCCATCCCACTGCTGGCCCTGCTCAGCCCGCTGCCGGCTGAGTGAACAGAACCCCAGGTCAGCAGCAGGCTCAGCGGCAGCCGGGATCCGCAGCCTGCCATTTAAAAAATAAAATCGGCTTGCGTGCCACCTTTGGCAGGCGTGCTGTAGGTTGAGGACCCCTGTTCTAGTGTATACTGTACTTTATGGTAATTTTCACTATACGCGATTTTCCTCTTATGCGGTGACTTTAGAACCTAACCCCCACGTAAGATGCGACTCCACTGTAGTGTAAAAAAAAATTGGGGTGCACCGCTTTTTGGCACCTAGTGGTTACACCGGCCCTGGCAGTATTCCCAGCCCAGGTGACGTGACAGCCAGTGGTGGATTTACAGTTAGTGGGGCCCCCCAGCCCTGTGCTCAGCTTCATTTTTGGGGCTCCTCCTTGGAACCCAGTCAAGAAAAAGAACATTCTCTCTTATCTCCTCCTGCCCCTGTTTTTAATTCTTTTTTTCTTCATCCTCCTCCCATAAGTAATAGCAAGTAAATGAAAATAAAGTGAGGTACCTTGATTGTTCTTGTAGTCTAACTTATTTTTCCACAGACCACTTGAAAATCACGGAGGGTCTCGACAGACCACTTAATGATCTTTCCAAATATTGTACAAAAATGTTCGGGTACGGAGTCTGGCCAGGAGCTAGGGCAAGGGAGGGGGCTCAGGGTTGGGGCAGGAGGTTGGGGTGTGGAGCGCTTACCTTGGGCAGCTCCTATTTGGTTCTCAGGATGGGGGTGGGGATGTGTAGGAGGGTGCAGGCGTCAGGGCAGGGGCTGGGTGTGTGTGAGGAGGGTGCAGGAGTCAGGGCTGGGGAGGTGTGAGGGGAGTACGGGGGTCAGGACAGGGAGCTGGATTTGTGTGAGGCAGTGCAGGGGTTTGGGTGTGTGGGGGGGTGCAGGAGTCAGGGAACAAACTGATATACACACAAAAAACAAGGTCCTGATTCTGCAAACACATGCATTGAAATCAGTGGAGCTACACAGGGTGGTAAAGTTGTGTGTGTGCATAAAAGTCTTTTCAGGATTGGTGCCTAAAGCCTGAATAATGGATTTTAAAAGTTCTTTCGTTTGTAATAACCTATAGTGGTGTTAATAACAGGTAAAGAATCTTGTTTGCTTACAACATAGGACAATATTGACAATGCCCCTTCAACTGCTTTATGCTTAATTTTCTTCATTTGTCAAGCAGAGATGACACCCATCTTAGAAAAGCATTTTGTAATGCCTTACTAATGCTAAAGTTACATTTAGAATGTCGATCATAACTGCATACAGCTTAGGGGTGAAGGAACTGAAATGTTCAAATTTGGATGCAGTCTTTGGAATTTAGAGCCAGGCTGGTTCTGCATGAGAGGATGGGAGGGGGCCAGCTTCTCTGTGTTAGTCTTATTTTTCACTCCCCTGGTGTTTGTCTCTTCTCAGATGTGTGAAGATTTCTCAAATACATTGATGCAACTTTGTGGACTCCCAGAATGAAAAGTTTGGCATAGTTATGCTTGGAAGCCAGGTTGACAGGGTTCACTCCAAGAGCAAAATATAGCTGTTGGTGGAGTCCGTAGGGTCCAGCTATACTCATCCTCTGACAGTTTTTTAGGATATTGGTGAGCGCTAATCCCCAAATATATATGTAATTTAAGGGCCAAATCCTCAGAGTTGCTGACCATTTGCAGCTGAAGTGAGCGGGAATTAAAGATGCTCCTCAGGTGCTTATTGCCTCATGATTTGGGCATACCTGCAGCCTAAAGCTCTTGATATGTCTGGGTCAGAGTGCAGACATTCCTGTTCAAAGCAGATCTTGAAATGTTAATTGAGGAAAGAGTTCTGTCTAACTACTTGACTGTAAGTATTGTAAAAATGAGTATTGTAAAAATGTTTAAACACAACTGCATTGCTCAACATGCTAGGTTATGTCCACTGATGGTGCAGAGTGAAACATTAATAGGATAATGTAGCCCACAAAAGCTTATGCTCAAATAAATTTGTTAGTCTCTAAGGTGCCACAAGTACTCCTGTTCTTTTTGCGGATACAGACTAACACGGCTGCTACTCTGAAACCTGTCATTAATGGGATAGTAATAGCACAGCAGGCTGAGGAGTAAATTATTCCAGACCTGTACAGTCTTTTTCTTATCTGCACTGTTCACATTGGTGATGTTTGGCGGTTAATAGATTTTACTGTTCAGTAGACTCAGAATTCTTCTTAAGTTTCATATATTTTCTTGCAGGCAGGGCAGAAGAGACAGGCAAATAACATGAAGCCAAGAAAACTCTTTTTAATGATTTCAGAATAAGAAAATATCAGTCAAATGAAGCAGCCCATGCAGTGGACGTGCTTTTTAATCCCATAATGTCGGAAGCCACATCTCCAGAAAATAAAAGACCCCGGAGAAGCTTGTCCCTCAGTAAAAACAAGGAAAAGAATGAAAATAAGAAAAAGAATGAAGCAGAAGTTAAAGGAGCACCACCCACACCTTCAGCTTCTTCCTCTATCCTTTCTTTTTTTAACAACACTCCCCCTGCCAAAGTCACCTGCCCTATGTGCGGGCAAATGGTGCCAAGGTATGGGATCAACAAGCACATAGATGAAATGTGTCAGAAGAACCATGGGGATGGTGCAATGATTCTAGTTGATTCAGGACTTGACTGTTTTATGAATGCGGGCCCATCAGGTATAGATCTGAACACTAGTTCCAGCCCATACTTTGCAAAGGAAGCTTCAACTCCAGAGAAAAATATGAGCATCTTTGAAAGCAACTTGTTGAAAATGAGAGCAGGTGCAGGACAGCAGACTAGTCCTTACTTTAAGAATAATAATGCTCCAATGTGCAATGTTCAGAATGGGCCAAGGGTGCAAATGGTTAAAAGTATCTCTTTGGGCAACTTGTCATCTAAACTGTCCAGAAGGCACCGTATCCAGAATAGACAACTGATAGAAGAAAACAAGAGGAATTCTTCATCTCAAGCTGTTCACAGTGTGTGTGACAATGCTGCAGAATGGGGTGATGGAGAGACTTGTGCTGGGGATGGCTCTCAGAAAGAGAATCACTTTGTTCTGGCAGGATTCCAAAAGCAGCATGTCCCAAAAGACAGTTTAACAAAAGAACTTGAAAGTCAGGGAGAAACACAAGAATGTGATAAAGAGACTCTTGTGGGTTCTGCTCATGGATTAGTATCCTCAGTTTGCATTGTTGCCAGGGAGCTAGTGTCTGCTGCAGGGAACACTGAGAAACACGGTTATTCTGAAGGCATGGTGCCTAATCTTGGCAAACATAAAACACATCCAGCAAGTTATAATAAAGTAGAGAGATCTGATGGTTCAGAAGCCAAAACTCAGTTCTCTGTTAAGGATATTCCTTCTTCAAGGACACAAGTGATGTATGAGAGCCATACAGAAAACTGCCTAGTGACAGATAATACAGGAACACTTCCTATGGAAGTTCATGAAAACTTAAGGAATGAGATGATTTATCATACTTTCTCAGAACCTACGCAAGATGTGGATTTTCAGAGTCCTGCCAGTGACATTTTAGACAAAATAAGTGGTGCATTTGGTTCTGCGTCTGACTCTTTTGGTCACCCATATTATCTCCAGAATTTCCTGATGGTCCTGCAAGTGGTCTTGGAGAATCATGATGATCTGAGACTCTTTGATGAGCAAGATACCAGCACTATCACAAAGTTCTACCAATTGTCAGGTATATTTTACTTTAGTCGATTTATTGTTGTGTTGAGTGTCCACTAGGGACTTTGCTATTGCTACCGATTTTACATGGAAGACGCTCTGTTGCTATGGTGATAGGCAACGGTATAAAACCCTAAGGTAGCTAGTGTGAGGGGGAATCCTCCCTTTACCCCCCTCCCAAAAATACAAACAAAAAAGAGAAACAGCAACAACAGTGATTAAACCATGCTTAATAATCCTTATATGGGAAAGACAAGGTGGATTAGGTAAAAGGTCTTATTGGGCCAACTTCTGTGTGGTTTCTGTATAGGTGAAACTGGACAGTCAGTATGCTCTCAAATGAGCTCTCGCCGAAAAATGATAAAAGACAAAAACACCACATTATCTTTGGGCAAATACTTTTCATAACGTGATGACTGCATATCTGACCCATCAGTCTTTGTCCCCAAGGGGAACCTGTACAACGCCTTCAAAAGATGAGCCTGGGAACTTAAATTCATAATTCTGCTAGATACTAAAAATCATGGTCTCCACAGAGATGCTGATTTTATGGCTCATTACAACAATTTGTAACCTACTAACCCTCCTTTGTCCTATGATTGCAGAGAGGTTAATTGCCCACTTCATTTTAAGTGGTTTCTTGCAACTTCTGTTAACCCCTTATGCTTAACCATCTGTCCCACCTGTTATTTAGTTGTGACACTCTGGTTACCTTTCCCAGACATGAAGAAGACCTCTGAAGCTCCAAAGCTTGTTTCTTCCACCAGCAGAAGTTGGTCCAATTAAAAGATATCACCTCACCCACTTTGTCTGTCTCGTATCCTAAGCCAACATGGCTATAACAACATTACAAACAACTTATACGGGAAAGTAAATTTCATTTTGACCCAGTGAAATTTGTATGAAATAAAGATAGATTTAATAATCTATCCTTGCAGAATTCCACAGCATCATGTATAAAACATTGTTTTGAAGTGAAAAGCAATTTGACTTTGGTTTCTGTAAAATATATAAAAGTTTTGCTAGGAACTGATAAGAACATGTTGTGATATTTTCTAAACCTTGTAGAAATATTTTGAATTCTGGAGTGTAAAACCCTCCACATTTTGGAAGTTTGGATATGACCCAGACTGCAGCGTAGTCTCCTCTCTAATCAGCATATGGGGTTGGTGAATATCACAAGCACTGGGCTAAGAGGAGAACATCACCCAGACTGAGGCTATCAACCTTCAATCCTGCACTCCTGAATTATACTGTACTGTGTATGTAGAACTTTCTTTAGTCTGAGTGGCTGGACAGTATGAGGGAAGTTGAGGTCTACATGGAATTCTCTGGTCTTATGGGATGCTCCATTTTCTGTCTACCTGCAGTGGTCATAATCTCTCTGTGTCCTCCCACACTTAGTTGCACCTGTGTTTAGGTCCAAGCAGTCTATCAGAATGGTGGCAGTCTGCAGTGAGGGCAATCTACAACAGTTCCATATATATGGTAAACTACTACCTTACAGACTGTGGAGGATGAAATCCTAGCAACTCTAACCTTCTTGCAAGTAGAGGTAACCAGCATTCTGGTGGCTGCTCAGATGAGAGTAACAACTAGCAGTAACCAAGATGTGAGTAGTGGTGATTATTGACATCAGTAGCATCCCTTTCCCTCCAGAAACTTCAGACTGGAAGTTATGGGAGTTCCCATTGCTCCCCATCTGTTTTTTGCTGTTCTCTCCTGAGGACACTGCTCAAAGTGAAGCTGGCACCTGGTCATGTTGACAGATAGCCATTGAGGGCACTTAATAACAAATTTCCAAAGTGCTTAAGTTTTGTTGTATTTTTGTGAGATCCCAGTGTAATGTTTGGCTCCCTCACCATGCACATTAGATTTGGGTGCATAATAGGTATGTGCTCATGCAACACTAGTGTATGCTTGAGCTGAGTGCACACAAGTGCCACTTAGTTACATACAGACTTTTTTGAAAATCTGAGCCTGAAAGCGTTGAACTGGCTACACTAACTAATGAATTGTGTTAACTCATTTTGGAATAACTAATGGGCAAAATCCTGCATTATAATTCAGAAGGGGAAATATTTCCCCTAATGATACCTTTTGTATGTTCAGTTCTTTTGCATTGCTATCTATAGTGAATTATTCACATTAATTTTCTTTTTGTGCTAGTATAATAATCTCTCTTGTGATTTTTTTGTTTGTTTCACTTTTCAAATTAAAATAGAAGAAAACTGGCTGAATAAATGCTGTTAATGGACCATGACTCCAAAGCTGTTACTTCTTTGTCCGTTTTAATATTTTTCTAAAAGTCCTAAATGATCTTAAACTCTGATGGATGACACAATAGTAATACAAAGAAATCTATGCAGATCCAGAATTTTTGGATAGGCACCCTCTGATGTCATCACAAAAAGTAGGAAGCTTTCATTGAACAATTTATTAATGTTCATCTCTTGGACTGAAGGTTAATACTACACATTTTTTGTTTCACTTGTTTGACATCACCAGGTGCTTAATACCAAACTGGAGCTGGATGACTGACTATGAAAACATTGGTTCATGCTTGTTAGGATGAGTAGTCTTGTGGCTGCAGTTCATATACATACCTAGTTCGTAAGGTTTGTTTCTTACTTAAAGATCTAAATCTATACATACCGCTATAGACAATGCAGTAATGCAATACAGATCTTTTTGTCACTAGAGGAAGAGGGCAATATTTACATAATTAATTTTATATATAATTTTAAAGAATTCATAAATGAATGGAGAAGACACATAATGGGAATGTAAGAAGTGAACAACAGATATGGAGATACGTTAGACAATTTGCTGTTTGAGAACTTTCTCTTTCTCATTTAAACATGTGTATGTGGTGTCATCTTAAAGATATGGTAAATAAGTAAAATAGAAACACACACAAAATGGATTGATATTCCTGTCTGATGTTACAAGTTGTGTAAATACAGTAGTAGGGTGAAAATCAAATTAGTTACTGTAGAAACTCTGGAATCAACCCTCAGAATAGGTCATAACAGTTCCACTTGCTCTTTTATACAGAAGTAGCCTTCTTGTCTTTTGCAGTGTGTAATCCAAACAGTTTTTCCCCAGTAGCTCAGGGAACATGGAATAAGTGTTACCGCAAAGCAATCCTGATAATTTATCTGTTGTGCTCCAGCATTTTAGTAAAATGTGATCTCCTTTTCTCTAGGAGATGGAGTATGATGACTTACTGAGAAGTGTTGCTGTGAGGAAGTGACTGGATAGCATTAAAGCAACAGATAATGGATTGTACAGAAGCTACTATAAAATTATAGAATCTTCAGTTTAATATATTTTGTCCAATATTTGTTAAAAGTTCAGATCAACTCATTGCTTGTTTCCTATTATTAGATCTTGCCGCCAAAGCCTGTGTTGTCATTCAAACAAATACAGGGTGGATAAAAACCAAGGCTTTTTTTAATTGGATTTTTTTAGTTTAGACTAAATACATTTTTCTTAAAAAAGAAAAATATTTTTAAATTAAATTTGAAATTATGATAACCTATATTACGGCCTTACTATAATCTATTCAAATAATTTAAATTAAATAAAAAAATAAGTAATATCTTTTACTGGTGAAGTTTTAAAGAAAGTTAAACTACTGAACTGCTGGAAGTCACTGATCATGCATCCAAAAACAGA